GCCGTCCGCTGCTGCGCTTCCCGCTGGGGGATGGGGAGGCGGCGGGAGGCTTTTTTGCATCGGGCGGCAAAAAAGCCAGAGCCGGCCCTGACTACAGCAGCACAATGAAACCCTTAGTGGGCAGGGCTAGAAGTTGTACAGTTGCACATGTATAGTATAGGAGAAGACCAGGTGGGAATTCACTTGTACAGATACATAAACCCTCCTGGATCTATTCTATGAGGGCGTAGCATTAGTTTGGGAGCCTAAGGGGCTGTGAATGAAATAAAATTAGTCTTGTCAATTTATTGGCTTGAGGCCTGACCCAAAGCCCACAGACGTTAATGGAAATCCATTAATTTCAGTGGGCTTTGTATCAGACCTTTGGTCTGGCCCTTTATTAAGTTTGGCTGAGTCCCCTTCCTGCTTACTTTAGAGACGCCCCTCCACATTACATGGAGTGATGGAAATAACTCTATATGCCCCTCTACCTGATGTATTAAGATTTGTGGTGAAGAGAAATTAATTAAGACAGATGGACTGCAACCTTTTTCAGACTTCCTTAGGCTATTTTCATTATTAAACTTAACTCTCTCTTTTCCAGTCCACATTTAATATAATGTAACTTGTGAAAAGCAACTGACATCACATGAAAACCGAAAACATATTCTATACATTAGGAACTCTTAGTGCCTTTTCTTTTCATTTACTTATTTTATGCATTAACAGAAACATCTGCTTAAAAAAACGGAAGTTTCAGGAAATTTAGCCACACATCATCTATTAGAATCCCCTGCACTGCTTTCAAAACCTCAACCCAGGATCTGTGTCCCTTAGCAGTTAGTCTGCTCCTAGTGCTACCTGGCTCAGCTATGCAATGGCACAACAGAGCCTCTGTTATGTTCTCAGCACATAACACATTTAAGATTTACACATCGTAGCCTTCCCAACGATTGCTTCCTGTGATTTATACGAAGTATTCTCTCTAAAATGCCATACAATGTAAGTAGCAGTTACTTTGCCTCCTATCATTACACAGCTGTAAATATTAACACAGGTATTAAGAAAGAGTTTTCTAATTAAATCTAATCACAATGTCAAAGAAGGTTACTGCATTTTAGAACAAGGCTCTCAAAAATGAAATCTCTCTTATGCAGTGCAAGGAAGCAATGCCAGGAGGAATCAGGAGAGTGATTCTGCGCTCTCCAGGGGAAGGAAGCTTCTTCCCCATCTCTGAGGGAGATTCTCCTCCCTGCAATTGTACTGGCCCCCAGTACTGTGCTCAGACCACACCTTTCTCAGATGAAGCTAGGCTCCATCCTCACAGAAAGAAGGATCAGGCCACTAGCAGCCACCACTGAAGGGATCTGATGCAAATATCTGGTGGGATTTTTCACCTTGTTCTTCATCTGAAATCATAAGGGAATCATTCCCACAGCAGACATTCATGAGGTCAAAAAACAAAATAGTTTGACATCAGCCAGGGAATAAGCAAGAACAAAATCAATTATAAGCAGAATTGCTTTGGAACAGGACGCTTTTAAAAATTTCCTAGGGGGCTAAGGAAGCATTAGCATACCCATTTTCTAGTCAATGGGATAAATTCCACCCAGACTAGCACACTGTGCAACCCCACTGGTTTCAGTAAAGTTGCACATGGTGTAAATCAGAGCAGAATTTTACCTCAATCTTATGTCCAAATCCTCACAGATTCTTGAAGAAAACCTAACAGGCAAAACTCTGATGTTTATCACTCCCTTGGTCTGCCACTTTCTCATAATAATTCTGCAGCTCATGCAAGTATTAACTTATCTCAACATACTTTTGAAGGGTAAGGCTCAGGTTGTAGCTGGCTGATTTGATCTTGTTCTGGGCCTCTAAGTGGGTCATGCCATCTGTGTTGACTCCATCAATGGCTACCACAAGGTCCCCCTGGTTCATGTGGGACTGGGCTGCTTTGCTGCCAGGGGTGATCTGTGAGGAAGAAAAGAAAAACAGACTTTATTCTTTGTGTGAAATGGTTTCAGAGAACAAGTCCAGTCCAGAGTTGTTATGGGAGGGGTTTAATTCCTCACTCTCCTTGATCCCTGCAAATAATGATACTAAAGCTAGATACACAGGGTGAAATTCATATTCTTCAGAAGTCCAACCCAAGGTCTTTTTCACTTAAGCACTATTTTGGACTTAAGTGGTCCATATAACTTGTGTTGGCCCCTCTAAACAGGGCTAAACGTCACCCTCAATTAACGGAGAGTAGATCTTCCAGCATTTTCTGTATATATTGAAAATTCCCATTTAACCCAAGATGGATGTTATTCAACAGGTTCAGATAACTGTCAGGTTATTTATAAAAAATTGTCTAAAGCAATTAAAATATTTTTAACATCAGCCTGGATTTTGCCCAAGCAAACTTAATGGAACTACACTGGTTTACACCAGCTGAAGATCTAGTCCATTATAAATACACAGTTAGATTCAAAAGTATTTCTCACCACTGAAAGGCATGTTCTACCATCTCCCTTGCATAGAGAGTGTGCAGGAAGTTCACATATTGTGTAATAACCATCAGAATTGGATTTGTTTCTACATGTTGCTCGAAAGTGCATTTATTTTCACATCCGAAGTTGCCTTAAATTTTATGGTTATTTATTATCATTTATATTGCAGTTGGGAGTCCCTACAGACCCTAATCAGGATCGAGCACCGCTATGCCTGGTGCAGAACATATTAATTTTTTGTCACTCTTTCCCTTACCATTGAACTTTCCCAAAATCCATTTTATTGGTTTGAACTGGGACGGTGGAGCAGTTCCCTTTGGTTGAAGGTACACACCCACAACTGGTCAATTCCATCCATAGTTTAGGAACACTCTTGGACTCCTCACAGACACTTAGCTCTCCTATAGCAGCATCTACAACTAAAGATTTCTACCAGGGCCGGCTCAAGGATTTTTGCCGCCCCAAGCAAAAACAGTTTTGGCCCCCCCCCCATTTTTTTCTTGCCTCAACTCTGCCCCTTCCCCAAATCCCCAGCCCTGCCTCCTCCCCCCAGGCTCTGAAGCCTAGGAGGGAGGGAGGGAGAGGGAGAAGCAGCACGTGCGCCGCGGCCACTCAGGGTCTCCCCCTCCCTCCCAGGCTCTCAAACCCAGGAGGGAGGGGGAGATCCCAAGCAGCCGCGGCGTGCGAATCAGCTGTTTTGCTAGCCGCGGCCGCTCAGGATCTCCCCCTCCCTCCCGGGTTTGAGAGCCTGGGAGGGAGGGCGAGCAGCGGCGCGCGAGCGGCAGCAGCGGAAGTGAGTTAGGGCAGCCGGGGCACATTTTTAGGGGCGGCATGGCCTGTGCCAGAATGCCGCCCCTAAAAATGTGCCGCCCCAAGCACCAGCTTGTTTTGCTGGTGCCTAGAGCCGGCCCTGGATTTCTACCATCTTCAGTTGTATAGGAGACGCCATCTCATCATGGCAGAAAATATCCTGGCCTCAGTTACACACACCTTTGTACTTTCCATCTGGACTACAGCATTGTAATATCGCTAGGCATGAGACCATCAGCCCTTAGGAAACTCCAACTACTACAGAATGCGGCAGCACAATTCCTCAGCAACACAGGCTACCAACTGCACATCAAACCTGTCCTCTGCTCTCTACTCTGGCTTCCCATAGAATACTGAATCAAGTTCAAGGTCTTAGAGACAGCTGTTTAAAGGAAATTAAGTGCCGAAAGATGCAGACCAGTGTACGCAGTGGGATTTTCAAAAGCACCTAGGCGCCTGAATCCATTGATTTCAATGTCATGTCACCAGGTGCTTTTGAAAATCTCAATAGGCACACTTCTTCATTTTTAGAAACTAAATGACTTTAAAAATCTGTCCCTTACTCCCTGTGTTCTAGGCAATCAATTATCTGGGCACAGCATATCTTTAAAAAATAAATCACCTAGAACTCCAGCATGAAGATTGTGGTTGACAACCTTACACCAGAGTAGGACATTTTTTAGCTCCTTAGCAGAGATATTCTTGTAATGCCATTAAGGCTAGCTGTGTGTACTCTGAATGAAAAAATAATAGCCAAAGATGTATTAAAGCTCTCTGCATGTGATTTAAAGGTTTCATTAATATACATCCATTCTCTCTTGTACTTTTCTGTTTTCATAGAATAGGGGGAAAAAGTTAAAGTCAATCTCTAGGAAAAAAGTTTTATGCTGCAATTTTTATGCATCATCCACTCCCTCTCAAGTAGGGACATACAAGAAACACAGGATCTAGTGTATTTCATATTACAATTTGTCATTCATTGAACAGCACCAGAGAATTGTTCTCATTCCCAGCTTTCCTATGTATCTCACTGACCTGTGTTACATGCACTCGCACGCACACACACACACACACAAATTTAAAGAATAAATTATTTCAGTTATCAGATTTACTTTCCAAATAATCCAGTTACTGAAAGACCCTCTCCGCTCTCAATCCCCAAAATATGTCATCACATACAATAAGACATAAAATAGAAGGTGGGGAGAATAACTTAAAATAGAAAGGTTTCAGAGTAGCAGCAGTGTTAATCTGTATCCGCAAAAAGAACAGGAGTACTTGTGGCACCTTAGAGACTAACAAATTTATTTGAGCATAAGCTTTCGTGGGCTAAAACCCACTCATCGGATGCATGTAGTGGAAAATACAGTAGGAAGATATATATATATACACACCCAGAGACCATGAAACAATGGGTGTTACCATACACACTGTAAGAAGAGTGATCATTTAAGGTGAGCTATTACCAGCAGGTTATTTGCTCCAACCCCTCAGAGAGAAACACCTACAAGATCTCTATCAAGCATTCTTACTACTACACTACCCACCTGCTGAAGTGAAGAAACAGATTGACAGAGCCAGAAGAATACCCAGAAGTCACCTACTATATGATAGGCCCAACAAAGAAAGTAACAGAACGCCACTAGCCCATCACCTTCAGCCCCCAACTAAAACCTCTCCAGCGCATCATCAAGGATCTACAACCTATCCTGAAGGACGATTCTCACTCACAGATATTGGGAGACAGGCCAGTCCCTGCTTACAGACAGCCTCCAACCTGAAGCAAATACTCACCAGCAACCACACACCATACAACACAAACATTAACTAGGAACCTATCCTTGCAACAAAGCCCGTTGCCAACTCTGTCCACATATCTATTCAGGGGACACCATCATAGAACCTAATCACATCAGCCACACTATCAGAGGCTCGTTCACCTGCACATCTACCAATGTGATATATGCCATCATGTGCCAGCAATGCCCCTCTGCCATGTACATTGGCCAAACCGGACAGTCTCTATGTAAAAGAATAAATGGACACAAATCAGATGTCAAGAATTAGAACATTCAAAAACCAGTTGAACACTTCAATCTCCCTGGTCACTTGATTACAGACCTACAAGTTGCAATATTACAACAAAAAAACCTTCAAAAACAGACTCCAACAAGAGACTGCTGAATTGGAATTAATTTGCAAACTTGACACCATTAAATTAGGCTTGAATAAAGACTGGGAGTGGATGGGTCATTACACAAAGTAAAACTATTTCCCCATGTTTATTTTTCCCCCCTACGGTTCCTCACACCTTCTTGTCAACTGCTGGAAATGGGCCATTTTGATTACCATTACAAAAAGTTTTTTCTCTCTCCTCTCCTGCTGGTAATAGCTCACCTTAACTTATCACTCTCGTTCCAGTGCGTATAGTAACACCCACTGTTTCATGTTCTCTATGTGTGTGTGTGTGCGCGCGCGCGCATGTCTTCCTACTGTATTTTCCACTGCATGCATCCGATGAGTGGGTTTTAGCCCACGAAAGCTAATGCTCAAATAAATTTGTTATTCTCTAAGGTGCCACACGTACTCCTGTTCTTTTTTTTAGAATGGAAAGGAGACCCAACAGCCAATTCAATCAGAGACAAATAATCTAGCAGAACTCCTTTTTAAATACCAGATTGAACACCATGGCTTGAGTGATCCCTTTAACTCCTTTCTTCACTGAAAGGAAAGTACTTTCCAAGCAGTCAGACACCAAGATATGAGCCTGGCTGATAAAGGCTATTAAAAAAAAATCTCTAGCCATCTGTAAGATACCACTCTCCCTTCCCACAGAAAACGTGCATGCCCTTGTCATAAAAATGTTAACTGTGCTGTGCTGCTGACACCTCCACACTTCAGCTAGTGGACTCCTAGTGATCTGCGCACCTGCTTGTGCCTATCAAGAATAAAGATTCATTGCTGAACATTAAGACTCTTACTGAAAAAGCTAGCCTAACTTTGGAATTCCTATTCCACACATAAACCTCTCCACCCTGCCCTCCCGCCCACCTTATGAACTAAATAAAGCTAGGGAACATGAACTTAAATAGTATGGACAAAGAGCTAAACACCTCAATAAAGAGGACTGAAACAGGGATGACGGGCCACATCTTCCTTTCCCCCAGCCCCAAATAAAGGCCTTACCTTTTAAAATAAGCCCTGGTATAGAAGAGGGCTATAACTGTCTTAAAATTAAAGGACCAAATTCTCTGTTAGTGTAAATGGATTAAACACTGTTTATTTCAATGGACTTGCACTCATTTACACAAGCAGAGAATGTCTGACCCACTAATTAAATCAACTCCATCCACATGATAGGCATTTGTAATACTAAAGATTCCTGAGTGGGTTTGGGTTTGCATAGTGCTCTGTATAAACCTCTAATGACGACCATCACAGTCATCTGTGAGGCCACAAGCTATAGTAGAACCATATTTTAAAGGTAAGATTGATCTTTGGGGAAGGGGTCAAAGTTGTGGCCTGTCAGTCTTGACAGCATCCGTTTCATTTGAAAGTTAACTGTTTACAAAAGTGAAGGGATTAGTAGCCATGTCCTGCGCCAAGGTTAGTGAGGGCATGCTCTGTGCAAGATTTCTCCAAACAGCTCTGCAGTAGACTTTTGTG